CACATCCTAAACCTGTGATTTAAGTTCTGAAATCACACAAAATGCACAATGAGAATTAGTCCAATGTTGAATGGAATGCAGCTGAATGACCAAACAGGTGGAGGACATCTCCATAGTTCTCACAGTCCAAGCAAGCCTACAGAAAGGGAAAATCTGCGGGAAGTGTTGCTGGGAGAAGCTCGGCAATCCCCCAAAAAATCCTTTTGGGTTTTGTTTTTAATCAGACCCAGTGATGCTTGGGATACCAAAGGGGATGCTGGACATCGAAGGTAGGCGGCATCTGTAAGGCAAGCACCCTCCGTGATGCACTGCTGTTCTGGTCCTAATTAACTTCACTATGGGCTCACAGTCACAATTTAACATACACACAATAAAACATTTTTTAGCGCTTACAAGTGTACAGTAGGTAGGCATTTGCCTACCATGAGGCTGACAGGGTTTGATCCTTATACACTGCTAAAAGCAACTTATGAGAACCACCAGAAATAACTGTTGAGCATCCCCAGGCCCCATAACAAAAGAAAACTCAATTTCTTCCCATTTTCAAAAAAACATGACAATGATCCAAAGGCAAATATATGCATGGTGTCAGATTGACTGAGCAGGGTCCAGAAAGGGTACCCGACCCATTAGTTGTACAATCTGGCCAGTTATACAACTGGGAAAACAAGAGCCTTGAAACACATGGACTACTTGACATACCTGACAGATAGGGAAGAATCACAACAAAGTCAAGAAAGCAAAGCACTGGATCTCTCCGTAATGAACAACTCTGGGGAGAAGACACCCCTACCCCATGCCACACCCCCACATTACATGTTCTAGGAATGAGAAGGGGACGCTCAATGTCCAATAAGCAATGAAAAGACGTTGTGGACTGGAAGACTCCTGGGTTGGCCACATGCAAGGTAGCATCCTACTTGCTCTACTATTACTCTGGCCATTTCTAAATAAATGAGAGAAAACGGGGGAAAATGGAAGAGCACTTAGAAAGCTTTCAGGTTTAAGTCTCAGTCATACAATGAAACACCCATCCCTTCACCATGCCCATTTTCCATCACTAAAAACCCAAGTATAACGCCATTCCACAGCCTTCCTCTACCTGTGGGGCAGATAATTTCCAATTCTTTTCTCTACTTTGATTACATTCAATATTTTGACACAAGACCCACCATTATTATTTGGCATTTTACTCCGGCAGTTAGATCTGGTGAAAACGCAACAGTAGACAATTCTTTTTCATTTGCTGGTTATAAATAACATATGATTTTGGAATTCTGAAATTTTAACAACTAAATCTGGAGGAATTTCTGCAAAAACCTGCTGGGTTCCGAGATTTGTTCCTGAGTCTCTGGGATTATGGCCATTAAACAGCTTAATCACGAGCCAGAGAGGCGGTTCGTGGGAATGACTTAGGCTCTTGTTGGGGTGGGGAGGAATTGGCCAGCTCCACACCCATCCTGCGAGGCCCCACGTATCTTCCTGAGTGTGGGCACAAACCTGACTTTCCAAAGGCCTTTGGCGGATGGAGGCCACCGAGCCGCCAAGGAGGAGCAGTTGGCGGGACAGCACCAATTCCCCCTGGGGTGGACCTGGGACAGTAACCTACTGCAGGGTCCAGATGCTTTTCTGCTAAAAGGCACTGGGTTTCGAGATTTGTCTCTGAATCTCTGGGATCATGTCCATTACTCACCTTGATCACGAGCCATAGAGGTCAATCGTAGGCGCCAGACAACTCGGGGTCTCGTTGGGGCAGGGGGAAAAGGGCCAGCTCCACCACCATCCCATTAGGCCCTGCATGTCTCCTCACTGCAGTCCCAAACCTAACCGTCCAGAACCCTAAGATATGGCGGCCACTGAGCCGCCAGGCACAAAACCTATTCCCACCTGAAATACCCAGCTTAGGTAACCTACTGTGGGGACAGAACAGATTTCTTCTGAAAGCCACTGGGTTCCGAAATTAGTTTCTGAGATTCTGGGATCAGCCAGAGAGTTCGTACATGGGCAGTGACACGGGGTCTCATTGAGGTGGGGAGGAAAGTGCAGAGTCCAGCCCAATCCCATGAAGCCTTGCATGTCTTGTCACTGCAGGCCCAAACCTGTCTGTCCAATGGCCTCTGGAAGATGGTGGCCACTGAGCCACCAAGTGGGATCAGGCGGAGACACACCCCCTTTCCCCCTTGTGGTGGTCTGTCGCCGATAGCTCAATGTGGGTATCGGGCACATCTCTGCAAAAAGCCGCTGGGTTCCGAGATTTATCTCTGAGTCTCTGGGATCATAGCCTTTAAGAGGTTTGATCAGGAACCAGAGAGACCTTGCCTCCAATTATATAGCTGAGCAGGAAATGGTTTGTTGGTGTGTCTTGCACATACCTAACATTGGCTGTTTACTTTCTTGGAAGACTTTGCCCAAAGTTTTTGGAGTATGGCCAAAGGCACAGCATCAATTTTGGAGTATCTGGAAGTCTGATGGTGCCATCAGGCTGCTGATGCAGTCGCCTTACAGGCACATATTGACCTGCTGGCGGTACCATAATCCCAGGTTGTAGAAATTCTATATATGGAAAAAAAAAACCAATAGTGGGGTTGGAATCACTGTGAAGCTACTAGGATGCTAGCCTCCCCATCCGATAGGTACCCAGCAGCACCACAGAATAATTCCTGATATGCACAACCAGAAGTAAACCTTGTGCATCAAAGAATCCCTTCCAACTGCCTTGAATAAAAGCAGCTATTAAAATTAATCCAAAGAGGGGCTGAAGTGATAGCAGAGCGGGTAAGAGGTTTGACTTGCACGTGACCAACCCGGGTTCGAATCCCAGAAACAATATGGTCCCCTGAGCTTTACCAGGAGTAATTCCTGAGTGAATAAGTCAGGAGAAACCCATGTGAAACACTGAGTGTGACACAAAAAACAAAAAAATATATATAATCCAAAGAGTAAATTTGCAAGGCATATACCTCTCATTTGTCTAAACACACCCCAAAGTGCCAAACCCAGCACTGAAGCCAATGAAAATGACTGACGGCAAAAGTGTCCCTTTCCTTTGGGGGCTGCCTGTGAACATATCTGGAGTTTCGATAAGTGTTAGGTCCAGTCCAAAGGCTCAAAACAGGGTCCTTCACAGTCTCCAGTAGGGAGGAATGAGATGACCAACACCTCCACTCTTTGCAAGCTCCTCACACCAAGGCCTGAAGTCCATGTGCCCAACCTCCAGTGCCGTCTTGGACATGGATCGATGGTGGCTGCAGGGGCCCTCAGGATAACGCACCTTCACCCATGACACTTGAATGACAGAACAGCACCCAATGCACCCCTCAAAAGCTCCACATCCACTAAAGCCTGGATATCCAGAACAAGTAACAAACAAGCGTGAATGCACCATACAAGCTGGCTTGACCTGGCGCTCAAGTGGCCAAACCAGGGTGCTCAAGCATCCCAAATCCTAACACAGGAAACACGGAAGAATGAAGGATTACCTATTTTTCCATTTTCAAAATATTCAATGCTGCATCTTGGTTGATTTCTGCCATAATTCCCGCTAACCAGCCCCACTGGGCCAAGCCAGAAGCATAGCAAACAACAACAGAGTAGTGAGCCATTACAGCTCTGAGCAGGAGGGTGTTTATTCAGTTTATTCAGTCACCTTCCTCCTTATTTTCATCACCATGACCCATTATTTACAAGTTAACACACAAGCAGTTCCAAGCACAAGAATACTGGCATAGGTGCAGCCCGGGTAAAAATCAGCAAGCTTCAGCAAAGTACTTCCCACATTCCTTACATATATACGGTTTCTCTCCACTGTGAATTCTCCTATGTATAGTCAATTGCGAGGATGAAGTAAAGGCCTTTCCGCATTCCTTACATATATATGGTTTCTCTCCAGTGTGAATTCTCCTATGTACACAAAGGTATGAGGCTTCAGCAAAGGACTTTCCACATTCCTTTTTTTTTTCAGATTCTATTTTTATTTTATTTTACTTAAATTTTTGGGGGGATCCACAGCTGGCTGTGCTCAGGGCTTATTCTTTTTTTATTTTTTTACAGTTGTATATTTACAATTTTTTTGTGCTTGGGTTTCAATTATACAATGATCAGATACCCATCCCTCCACCAGTGCCCGTTTTTCACCACCATGGATAATATCCCTCCCACCCCCATCCCCCATCCCCCCCTGCCTCTGTGGCAGGACAATCCCCTGTGTTCTCTCTCTCCGTTTGGGTGTTGTGGTCTGCAAAAGAGGCATTGAGTGGCAAACATGTTCAGTCCATAGTCTACTTTCAACATGCATCTCCCCTCCTGGGAGGATCCTCCAAACATCCTTTATTTGGTGCTCCCTTCTCTATCTGAACTGCCCTTTCCTCTAGGATACCCGGCTGGCCTCTAAGTTATGGAGTAATCCTCCTGGTGCTGATCTCAGCTATTCTTGGGTATTAATCTCATACTTTGTTACTTTATATCCCCCAGATGAATGCAATCTTTCTATGTCTATCCCTCTCTTTCTGACTCATTTCGCTTAGCATGATACTTTCCATATTGTACCACTTGTATGTAAATTTCATGACTTCATCTTTTCTAACAGCTACATAGTACTCCATTGTGTAGATGTACCAAAGTTTCTTTAACCAGTCATCTGTTCTTGGGCATTCAGGTTTCTTCCAGTTTCTGGCTATTGTAAAGAGTGCTGCAATGAACAAACAAGTGCAGATGTCACTTCGACTATACATTTTTGCTTCTCTGGGATATATTCCCAGGAGTGGTATTGCTGGGTCAAATGGGAGCTCAATTTCTAATTTTTTGAGAATCGTCCATACTGTTGTCCAGAAGGGCTGACCAGTGGACATTCCCACCAACAGTGAAGGAGTGTCCCTTTCTCGCCACATCCACGCCAACATTCCTTACATATATTATGGTTTATCTCCAGTGTGAATTCTCCTATGTAAACTAAGTCTTGAGGCTCCAGCAAAGGCCTTTCCACATTCCTTACATATATACGGTTTCTCTCCAGTGTGAATTCTCCTATGTATAGTAAGGTTTGAGGATTTAGCAAAGGCCTTCCCACATTCCTTACATATATATGGTTTCTCTCCAGTGTGAATTCTCCTATGTACACTAAGGCTTGAGGCATCAGCAAAGGACTTCCCACATTCCTTACATATATACGGTTTCTCTCCAGTGTGAATTCTCCTATGTATAGTAAGGCTTGAGGATTTAGCAAAGGCCTTCCCACATTCCTTACATATATACGGTTTCTCTCCAGTGTGAATTCTCCTATGTACACTAAGGCTTGAGGCATCAGCAAAGGACTTCCCACATTCCTTACATATATACGGTTTCTCTCCAGTGTGAATTCTCCTATGTACACTAAGTCTTGAGGCCAAAATAAAGGCCTTTCCACATTCCTTACAAACATAGGGTCTCTCTCCAGTGTGAATTTTCCAATGTTCACTAAGTCTTGAGGCCAAAGCAAAGGCCTTTCCACATTCATTACATATATACGGTTTCTCTCCAGTGTGAATTCTCCTATGTACATTAAGGCTTGAGGCTGTAGCAAAGGCCTTTCCACATTCCTTACATATATACGGTTTCTCTCCAGTGTGAATTCTCCTATGTACAGTAAGTTTTGAGGCTCCAGCAAAGGCCTTCCCACATTCCTTACATATATACGGTTTCTCTCCAGTGTGAATTCTCCTATGTACACGAAGGCTTGAGGCTTCAGCAAAGGACTTCCCACATTCCTTACATATATACGGTTTCTCTCCAGTGTGAATTCTCCTATGTACACTAAGCTTTGAGGATTCAGCAAAGGACTTCCCACATTCCTTACATATATACGGTTTCTCTCCAGTGTGAATTCTCCTATGTACACTAAGTTTTGAGGATTCAGCAAAGGACTTCCCACATTCCTTACATATATACGGTTTCTCTCCAGTGTGAATTCTCCTATGTACACTAAGCTTTGAGGTTTCAGCAAAGGACTTCCCACATTCCTTACATATATAGAGTTTCTCTCCAGTGTGAATTCTCCTATGTACACTAAGTTTTGAGGCCAAAATAAAGGCCTTTCCACATTCCTTACAAACATAGGGTCTCTCTCCAGTGTGGATTTTCCAATGTTCACTAAGTCTTGAGGCCAAAGCAAAGGCCTTTCCACATTCCTTACACATATATGGTTTCACTCCAGTGTGAGTTCTCCTATGTGCAATAAGTCCTGAGGCTCCAGCAAAGGCCTTCCCACATTCCTTACATGTATACGGTTTCTCTCCAGTGTGAATTCTCCTATGTACACCAAGGCTTGAGGATTGAGCAAAGGCCTTCCCACATTCCTTACATTTATACGGTTTCTCTCCTGTGTGAATTCTCCTATGTACACTAAGATTTGAGGCTTTCGCAAAGGCTTTCCCACATTCCTTACATATATATGGTTTCTCTCCAGTGTGAATTCTCCTATGTACACTAAGACTTGAGGCTTTCGCAAAGGCCTTCCCACATTCCTTACATATATACGGTTTCTCTCCAGTGTGAATACTTCTATGTATACTGAGGCCTGAGGATCGAGTAAAGGCATTAGCACACTCCTGACATATAGAAGGCTTCTCTGCACTATGAGTTTTCATAGGTCCATTAAAACTAGAGGTCTGAATGAAGTCCTTCCCACATGTCTGACATTCATGAGGTTTCTCTCCTGTATGAATTCTCCTATGCATAAGATGTGATGATTGATCAAAGGCCTTCCTACATGTTTCACATGCAAAAGGTTTCGCTCCTGAATTTATATTCATATGGTCATGATGGAGTAACCCTTGACTCACACTTTGTTCTTGGGGCTGACATTTCTGGGGATTCTGTCCACTATGGTTTCCTAAGGGTACACCACAGTACTGAGAACATGGGGAGGCTCCTCCACATTCCTTACACCTATATGGGTTCTGCTCACGGTGACTGTGGTTGAGGGTATGTTGCTGTGAGGGACTAACTATAAACAGTGCTTCTCTCCCTAGCAGGTACCCCATTGGGGAATTTTGTGTCTGTGAACTGAGAATAACACACTCCAAGGAACTTTCTCCAGGAGAGGGCTTCTTCAGAGTGAGGTAGCTCTCACCATTCTGATCACCCTCAGAAGAAATCCCGCCTGTCTCATCGTCCTCATGGGGCTGAGGGCAGGATTGATCAGTCGAGACATTATCATACAGTGCAGGATCAGAGACATTCCACTCGGGGTGGCAGCTTTCCTGCAGAACAACAGAGGATTCTAATTATTGACTTATACACTGAGTCTTCCTGTCAAAAAACTGAGCCCTTCAGATGTAGTTCCACACATATGCACCACAAAAATGCAATTACTGACATATGAATTGTCTTACTATTGAAAAACTTCATGTTACCGTAAGTTGGACGCACAACATTGATGGATAGAGAGTAAATTCTGGGACTTTCCCCCTTTTTAATTTAATGAAGGAATACAACTAGAAATAATTCCTTCTATTGAAAACGGACACATCCATTTCAAGAGAAAATGAAATAGATTCACATGTGGATTTGGTTAAAGTTCTGTGTGGAACCTGTGATGCAGGGGTGAAGACTACGCTGCATCGTAACGCAGCTGAGACAGATCACGTGGCCATTGCAATGCTCTCACCACAAGTGATTCCTTTCAGGATCAATAAAGTTTTTTTTCTTTCTGTTTTGTAGTTTCTATTCATTGGAGGTTGGGTGGGTGGAGGAGCACACCATGCAGTGTCTCGGATCAGTTCTGTGGGTCTATGCTGTCTATAAGGCGTGCTGGGTAAGGACCATCCATCCCTATGCAAAACAAGTATATTTCTCACTGCACCATCTCTAGGGCGCACAAATTAGCTTTCTAAACAACTACCACTGTCAAGCCAATCAAAAACTCACAGTATTTTTATACACGGTTGATGTCAGCACCTAGCAAAGCTAAGAGTCCTCTACTCCAAGCATCAGGTTTTGGAATTTATCCCTGCCAATCCCAGCCCTCCACCTTTACAATCACATACTTGGTCCACTCCTGCTGGCATAATAATATTTATTCTGTATTCGTGAATCTTACCAACTCACTCGTACTTGTTGACCCCATTTCCAAATCAAAGTGTTGTAATACCAAATTCTGAAGTCGCGGTTTCAGTTCTGAAACTGAAGAGAACATGCAATTCACACATGTCACACATGTCACAATATGTAGCAAAATGATGCCATGTAGTTAAGAGTACATCTCTGTGGTTCTCAAAGTCCAAAGAGTCCCACACTAAACAAAAGATTCGGATAGTGGAAAACTGTGAGGATCTTGGCAATTCTACACTAGGTTATGTTTTTGTTTTTGAGCAGACCTGGTGATGTTCGGGGAACCAGGTTATTGAACAGATTATTGAACAGGTCACATTCAGGCACTGCAAGGCGCTCCCTGCTGTACTATCGTTTAGATCCAAACTATCAATGTTATGGTCTTATTTATTGGAAAGCCATGGAAGCAAATTACAGGATCATTCTGTGATTGACAGTCCAAGGAAATGAAGAGCAGCTTGAGTGCGGCACAGACCCAAGGATACAGGACACCAAGGCCCCGGCCTCAGCAGCATGTTTCACACATGCTCAGGGCACCCATACACTGCACAGGGCCTGATCCAGGAAGGGTCCTCAGACACTCACCCGCACACACGCCTCTCCTACCCGACCTCAAAACTCCTCCTTCAAGCCAGGAGATCACTGCAGGTTTCATTCCAGTGTGCCCTGTCGCAACAGAGACAGAGGCATGGATAAGTCACAGGGAAAAGGTGACAGGTAAATGCCCATGTTTTCTTGATATAAGTGGGCATTTATCTGAAAATCATGAACAGAATGTCCATTTCCAAAATTCCACATATTTCTAGTTATTCGAGAGGTAAGACCCAAGAAAATATCACAAATACTCTAGACCTGGCCTTGTGTATGGCAGATAGGGGGTTGATTAGCACAGTATGTTTTTGTTTTTTGTCTTGTTTTGGGTCTCACCTGGCAATGATCAGGGGAGACTCCTGACTCTGTATTCAGAAATCACTACTGCTGGTGCTCGGGTATGACATGGGTTGCCGGGAATTTAATCCACATGCACCGCTTGCAAGAAAATCACTTTCATCCCTGTACTATCTCTCTAGGTTCAGCAGCACATGGAGTTTCCTCAGCCCCTCATGAACTTTTCACGGACTTCAGTAAAACTAAGTGCATAATAAATCTGGAAATGGCCAAGGGTGACAAGATACCCTTATTTTTTAAGCTAAAAATGTATCCAGAAAGAGAGCACAGAGGAGTTTCTCACGGACAATCCAGTTGTGATACCCAATATCTCCTAGGGTCCCTCATGCCAGCCAGGAGCGATCCCTGAGTGCAGAGTCCAGAAGCAACCCCTAAGTCCTGCTGAAGTCTCACAAGAACCATTAGAAGTAAATCAAAGCACTGAAATAGGGCAGCGTCTAATGAGTTGAGAGATGAAATATCAAATCCCCTGTGGTGGGAAAGAGATAGTACAGCAGATAAGACAGAAGTGCTGCACATACATGTGGGTTTGATCCCAGGCAGCCCATATGGTCTTGGAGCAAGGCCAGGTGTGGACCCTGAATACACAGGCAGGAATAATTCCTAATCCCTAAAGAAAAAAGAAAATGCAAAAACCGTCTGACTTGAGTGACTGATGCAAAAGTACTGGGGGTGAGGCAGCGACAGTTTAACTTGCCAAGAGGTTTAAATATACGGTTCCATATGGCCCCTGAACACTCGTAGTCGTCATCCTTTAGCACAGAGCCAAGAGAACTGTGGACTGTGCCCCCCAAACAAAGGCAACAGCAAAACCAATTAAACACAAAAAATTTCGTGTAGTACACAAAGTAAATTGATTCACCAATGGATGGAACTATTTAAAGGGACCTGGGTGATAACTGGGCAGAGAGGGATCTTCCCATGGACACAGTTGAAACGCGTTGATCTGAATCACCCCATAGGGTCCGGCTACCCCACAAGAGTAATTCCTGAAGACAAAGCTGAGAGTAAGCCCTGAGTATCCACAGTTGAACCCTAAAAAACACGAGGGAGGGAAGAGCTACTGCACGCCCGTCACAGAGCTACTGTTGGACACACAGCTTCCGCCCAACCCCAGTGAGCCAACGCAGGTCTGTTCAGACATGGTTGGCTCCACACTGCTCTCACCGACAGCCTGCAGATTCTGGTAGGTCTCCAGCATCACGTCCCTGTAGAGCTTCCGCTGAGAGGCCTCCAGGCATAACCATTCCTCTGGGGTGAAGTTCACAGCCACGTCATGGAAGGTCACTGTGTCCTGAGTCAGCACACCAAGAGGGTGGGAGTCAGAATCTATCTTAGCCTCATTCACACTACTCTGAGGCCAGGTCCCAGGGTCCTATATTGTCGCGGGGCCTCTCCACTCCGAATAAACCAGCCTCCATGCTCACGCATGACTGATGGGCCCCAAAAATCACATAAGGCAACTGGATCTGCTAAAGTGGGACGACGTGATACAGAAGGTTCTTGGATGTATCTGCCTTTCCTGGTAACCCCCCGGCCAATTCGAGCACCACTGTTCCAGTGAGCACTGTAGAGAGGATCACCTGAACACAGACTTGTACGATCCAAAAGGCTATCCCTGGGTGTAGCAAAAACTACTGCATGCTCACCGCTGCACCCCCACAGCACATGACCACTAGGATTGAGAACTCGAGAGTCCATATAGACAACTACTCAGAACAGTGCATGGCATGTCTGCCTGTAGAAACTCACTGCACTGGACCACCCCACATCCCGCTCAAAGAAGTTAGAAGTTTCTTGACTCCAACATCTCTACTGGCCGCAGAGATCCTTGGCTTTCTCCTTGGGATCAGCACATGCCCAGAAATCCACACACAAGATTATGTGAACTTAAGCCTATATGACCGAGCAGGTAGTCTCTCCAACGCAGGAAGGACAAAACAGGAGAAAAGCAAGTCTGGAGGCCCAAGTCACTGTAGTTGTCAGGGCGCAAACGGGGCCAACACACCCCAGGGTGCTCTGACGCCAGTCAATTGTGAATCCAGAGCACAGAGTCAAGAGGACAGCTGATGAGAAAAACGATGCAAAAGAAGCCGAAGCAGCAGTTTGGCGTAACAGGACAGCTACTTCAGGGACAGCATGTAGGACTGGCGATCCCCAACATCCCATATGGTCCACAAGTACTGCCAGGGGCAATGCCAGAGTGCAGCACAAGAAATGATTGCAAGAATCCTTGCTCTGCCACCCCAAAGAAAACAGAAAACCCAAGATGAAACCTTTGGACCTCCAGCATCCCATTCGTCACCTAGACCTTTCAGGAATGAGCATTGAGCACTGAGCTTTGAGTACTCCTCTTGCACCACTGGGTCGGCCCCAAGGCCAAATAAAACAAAACAAACATACACAAAAGCAGCTGCAAACAGCA